TAAAAATTACTTTTAAAAATAAGAAAAAGTAAATAAAAAATGAGTAAAAAGAAAATTTATGAAAAATAAAAGTTTGAAACTTTTAAACTTTTATTGTTTATGATCTTTTTAAAGTTAAAAAAAATTTAAAAATGTTAATTTTTTAAAAAAAGATTTAAACTTATAAAATATAAATAATATCAAAAAGCTGAAACACTTGAAAGTTGAACCAAATATACTTAAACTTAGAAGTAAAAGCTGATTATCGGAACAATTCCAGTTACTTGAACCTTATCTTTAGTAGGGTTTTAACTTTAGTCTATTTATTTATTTTCTTATCAATTTATCCCCTTAAGTTTAGTTTTGGGCTATTTAGTCTTAGGTCCCTTAAGTTTATTTACACTTATATTATTTTATTATCTTTACTTAAAAATTAAAAGCCTAATTTCTTTATTGTACCTTTCTTCCTCTAAAAGAAAATTAGCAACTTTCACAATGTAATTGTAGTAAGATAAAAATTAAACTCAGAGTCCCTTAATCTCCTTGATTAAATTACTAAATGAGAAATTAACTTGAGTAGGACTTTTTCTTAGAAAAGCAATTATCTTCTTGAGTTGAATTTTTTATTTAATGTCTTTATACTATGATTGTTAGTTGTGTATATTTGAATTTTTATGTCCTATTTTGCATATAAGTTTATTAGATTGATTATAATTACATTAGTTTACGGTTTGAAATTTTAAAAATTTCGATTCTACAATTATAAATTTAAGTTCTTTTTACAAAAAGCTAAAATGTTAAGAGGTACAGTAAATTACTCATTACCTAATGGATAAGGGTAAGGATAACGTATATTTTTACTTGAAAAGTAATGGGCAAGGTGAGCATAAAAAATTACCCGATGGATGGGGGTTATAAGGGTAATTAACTTCCCGACTCACTGTCATTCCTCCCTAGTTTTTGTTTTGAAGGAATTTTCATTTGTCCGATATATAACTTGAGAGATTGAGAGCTTCAAAAGAAAATTGAGTTTGAATTTCTAACATTGCAACTTTTATTAACAGTGAATATTTCTCGTTTTTTAGTGGTTTTCCCCTTATATTATATTGGGAGGGTTTTTTACATTAAATTTAATTCTTTTTTATTATTTTAATTTATTATTTAATATACTTACATAATTTTATAGTAATACTCGATCCTTCTATTTATTTTTAATGGATCTATTTTGACCTTTTGATTTTAAGAATATAAATTTTAGATAAAATTTAATAATTTATATAAACAATAAGAAAAATTATTGATACACATTCAGTTTAATATATTTTTTGATACTATTTTAGTTCAACCATTAAATATAAGATAAATACAATCAATTGAATTGGTTTCCACATACTGTGTATATAATTATATCTTTAAACTTGTCTTGCATTTAATTTTAGACAAAAAATAGTAATTTGTTGAGAAGTGTATTGTACAGTATATTAAATCAAAATATATACTAATAATTATCCAAACAATAATTAAATTTTTTATTATTATATATAGCTATTGTTAAGTATTTTTATTTGATAAAAAATTTTAATTTTTATTCATATAAATTATTAAATTTTTATTTAAAATTTATATTTAAAAAATTAAATTAAATCTATTAAAAATAAAAAAAAAAAAAGAGTATTTTTTTCTATTCGAGCGAGAATCGAATTCCCAGCTGCAGTAAACTTAAAAAGAGTTATTTCCTCGTCACGAAAGGTCATCAACATGCATAATAGAATATCACAAATAGAATATCATAAGAAATGACAGCATATAAATAATTTGATACATAACACAGTAATTTTTTAAAATAAAAATGACTTTCTATTCAGAGCTATAAAATTAAAACGTACCTGCGTACAGGATCTACTTGCAGAAGCAGATGAGAGAAATGCTGGAATCGGAAGAAAA